TTAGATAAAATGAATATTGATAAAGTTTACCTTTATGTACAGAATCTGAATATCGCAAAATATTTTTAAAAATTGCAATAATATCGTATCGTGCATTAAGTATTGTGATAATATCGTATCGTGGGATGTATGGTGATTCCCACCTCTACTACATTTCCTCTCGTCCTTTGTATCATCTGTTTACAAAACTTTCTGTAATGCATTTATGCCACATTTTGACAATTGTAAAATGTCGTGTTCATAGAGCTGGGCGATACAACGATAACGATATGTATTGCAAAATAACTATAGCTAAGCTATACAACAAGGAGAGGTTGAGAATTTCCTTTCAGTTCTCAGTTTATTTGATATTGACAAAAGTTAGTCAATTTTGTCTGTTCTTCCGTAACACAAACTAAGATTTATTTTTAGAATTAATATTTTGTTTCTAAGTGGAATTGACAATTTAGTAGTCTGCTTTGTTTGTTCTATTTTGAAACGTAAACGCTTTAGCGGCTGCCTTTTGTGTAGTTTGCAATATTTGCCTTTATTTATCTGAAAAAGTCTCATGTTCCTTAAGTACATCTACCCTGTTGAACTTATTATGGGAAATAAATATTGAAATCAAAACAAGCTGCTGATTATTTCACATTTTACTTGTGAGCAACGGCACATTTAAATCTTACAAATATAGCTATTTGGCTTATATCGTGATATATATCGTTATCGCCTGAAATGAAAAAAACATATCGTGATATGAAAAAATCTTATATCGCCCAGCTCTACTTGTTCATATTCTGATCATCTTTAAAACAATCCAATTTCATTCTGAAGCTCACCGTGGAAACATTAATAATCTAAAGTACACTGTATCTTTTTGGTGCTCTAACTAATAAGGAGAGTTCAGTGACTAAGAAGCACGTTTCCCCCATCGTTGCTGCCTGTAATTCCAGTAGGTATTGTACCAACATGGAACATCCTGTTTTTTCTCCACAGAAACTCTGCTGGGATTGGAGAACAGGACCAGAGCACTTTGTCTTTGTGGATTAGCCACAGACGCATATGTTTCCATGGAGCAGGTCAGGCTAACGAAGGGCTTTCATTCGCTTAATACCCTCTCTCCCTCTGTAGCATGAGTATTAATCTGGGAGCTGAGGGACTTCAGGAATAGTTATTGTCCTTTAAGCTCAACTATAACAGCATGGACTTAGTGGATAATAACTACTCCAGGGTCAGCCAAATTTTGATTTCTCCTGTGGCTGTTGAAGTCATTCTTCATCTGTGGATGTGTTCTAGAAACAACCCTCCCCATAAAACAGCAGCAAGGGGTGTATTGCGTTGCGTTTTTGACATTCCACTGCGACTCCCTGAGGATAAACTGGAGGCTCTGAGACTGGACTGGTGCGATAACAGCAGCAACAACTATATTTCCTGTTATTGAGATGTGGACAGAGAAACAAGGGATTGCTGTGGCCAAGGGAAATTTTAAAAAATAAAAAATAAATGCTGATATATTTCCTTACTTCAGTAATCGAGAAACAGACCCACTTTGTGGAGAGATAAGAAGGTTATCAAGGTCAATACTAATGCACATCAATGTTTGTGTACTTTCAGACAGCTCAAACAAACCCAGTAGGCAATTGCTGATACAAAGCCACCAACTGAGCTGTGCTTTCCAACGGACAAGAGGTTTTGTGATTGAGTTACCTACAAAAGTTAATTATGTTTTATTAGGATGCATACTGAACATTTCTCACCAGTGACTCACAATTTCTTAAAAATCAGGGAGGAGAATAAAGCTGAACCTGCCTTGTGTAGTTCTGACAAGTCTATTTGGATACCTTTTGGTAATTACACTGCAATGTGCTTCACAGCGCCAACAAAACAAATCAAAACAGGTATAACACCACTCTACGATACACAATATTCCCTTAACAGTTGCTTTCAAGGGACTGATTTAAAGTCAGATTCGAACAACAACAAGCAGAGCTGGGCATGACTGCACATTTAAGGTCAACTGCATCGCATTCCAACTCCAAAGCAGCTGCAGGAGCTGATACGTGCAACACAAGTCACCAACACTGGGAATACTGAGAATCCATGTTCAGAAGAAGGCGCCGTAAATGCTGCAGAACAAAAACAGCTAACGGGCATCTGTGACTCGCGCCTGATTTATGCAACAGCACGATGAAGCCACAGCAGTGTTAGATAGATCTTGGAAACTCTCTGATAGCACCTGTCAGTGAGCCGAGTGGCTTCTCAGGGTTAAGAGAAGAGAGGCGGTATTTCATCTTGACAAAAAGAATGCAGTGTGTGGCTTTCAGAGGAGAACATGGAGCCTCGGTTTTTAGCTCAGGAAAAGGGTTTTTCAAAGCACTAACAGTACCCAAACAACAGACTCAAGTGGACAGAAAGCATCAAATTCCTCAAAGCTAAGTGTCAAATATAATCCCCTACCAGACCAGAAAAACAAGCCATTACTGGCAAATTTTTCAGGAGAATTGTAAGAAGAAAACTCATTGTAATCTGTGTGCCACAGAAATCCCAATTTGATTTTGAGTGGGCCACACACTACATCCATTGCATAATAACCAATAAAAAGCCCTCTAAGCTGATTCTCTTTCTGTAAATATGTTTAAGTTAAACCCTAACTTTTCTTTAGCTTTACAAACTTGATGAGCAGTCTGACATATCTGAAGTTAAATATTATATGATATACATATATATATGAGCAGTTTTTCCACACTGCAAAAAATACAACTGTATGGAAGCAAATAAAAATCTGTTAGAATGGTTCCCACACTTTGTTTGACACCACGGACGTAAACCAAAAATGAAAGCAGCCCTCACACAAACAACCTGGTCTGTGTTGGTACAGTGCATCAGAAGTAGACATCGGTGTTCATGTTGGCTTCCCACAAGCCCAGGATGTTCTTATTGCTGTATAACTGTACTGCTGTGGTGACAGACCTACTACTATAGAGGAAGTGAGAGGAGAGGTTTCACTGGGTTTAAAAGAAAAAAAAAAAAGAGCCACCAAGGGTTGTGACGCACCATTAAGTCTGCTCTGCAGTGTCTGCAAAAACACTCACTGCAGAGAAAAGTCACAGGGAGGGGAAGAGACTCCAAATGCAAACTCAGCTTCAAACTGACTGCAATGTCCATTTTACCCCAGCAATAATTCAAATTACAAACACCGTATTGTGCACGAGTCATAATGTCACACAATACAAAATTAAAAGCTAAAGAGGTCCGCCGTCTGTGGCCTAGTTTAAAAACATCAAGGGGTTACTCCATTAGTTTTGTCCCATCTTCAAAAAGCACACTTGGGTTATCTGGGGCTTACAAATGACATACAAGTCAGCTTCACTATTATTACCGTTTCCCCCCTTTGGCTGCGTGTGTACAACCAGGTGTGGGTACGGGCCATCTATTTATAGCCATCTCTTTGCCTGCTGCTCAGTCCAGCCTGTGCTAAGGAGATTTAGTGTTCCTGCATCGTGGTTCTTGTCCGTGTCGAAAGCTGATTTCCATTTAAAGAAAACTGCACCTGCAGCACGACACAGTGCTGAAGGGAGGTGAAACTACAAACCAACTTCATGCAGGAATTTAAATAGATAATTAAGAAAAAAGTACATATTGCCGACGTTATCGGCACAGTAGAGCCGTTTGTCTAAAACTGGTGGTTGTATAATCAGAGCGAGTGCCTGCAAACGTGTACTGATACCACATTACTGACAAGCAGCAGCTGAGGTCAAAGCACTGCTGAGCAAAGCATCCATTGGGCTTGTTTTTACAGAGCAGTTTGCCTCATTCTTTTCTCCATGTAAAAGCAAAACAGGTCTCACTTAAATGACAGACCATTGCTGTGACAAGTGAATCTGATTCATGTTACAGGCCCAGAGTTGTCATGACACCACAGCAGGAAAAGACATTACACCATAGGGGTTTAGTCAGTTCTGTTTTCCTGTGAACAAACTCTTACATCAACCAATCTCCTGCCCCTGCAGCTCTCCAGCAAGGACAGATTAGTGAATATGTGAGGCTAAATGCCAAAAAAGGGTAACGGAACAAGTCCAAATTTGAGGGATGGAGAACACAAATCGCACTAGGAACACTTCTAAGACACCCATTTAGAAAAGTGCAAAAAGAAGAGAGGAACAAGTAAATCCATTCTGTGCACTTGACACAGGCACTCGTGGCTGACAGTGTACAAAAAACACTAAAAGCAAAGCAGGGCAGTGAATTTTTTATGCTGCAAGCAGACTACCGGCACAAAGACTGCTGGGACTTTCAGTTTGCCATAAAAACACAGTCTTGTTGTACATTCAGCTACCAACAAGTGTGCACAGTGGTTCTACATCTTACTGAACAAATGAACAGATCTTAAACCACAAGATGACAAGCCACATGAGGCAGTCAGCTGTATCGGGGGGGCTGCATGGCCCATGAGTGTGAGTGTTCCTTGCATGGGTTTGACCTCCTAATTATCTACCAAATCTAAAGCTGAGTGGGAGGCATCCTTTAGTGCCTTTTATCTGTCTCTTCACAGGATTACTTTGAAACGACCAAGCCTACGTCTGTAAAAACCTTGCGGAGAGGTCTACAAACCTTCCAAACAGGCTATTGAGGATGTTCTCTTCTAGCTACCCTACAGTTTATCGTTGCAGTTAATCATTGGCTTCTTCAAGACAGTAACACAAAACAGACTGCATGCATTTTCAATCTCTGAGCTACTCGCGTGCAAGGTGCATAATTCAGTGACTAACTCCAAACCTTTGAAGCAACCACCTGTGTACATTGCATAGCTGCATCTATTGCATACAAAATACATGTGGACGGGTGGTGTACTGCAAGTAAAGATAAAAACACTTACCGCCATCACCAGCTCAAAGGGATGCTTGTACACCCGCACAGGTGACTGGTATTTCTGCACCATGATTGGGATTATGCCAACGATCTGAACAGAAGAACAGAAGATCAAAATCAATCAGCAGTGATTACAGACATTTGGGGAAGAAATCTAAGAAGCGGGGCTGTATCTGAGTCATTCTTAAGAATAACCACTTGCTAAGTGCTAAAATTACAGCATTATAGCTGCATCTGGTCCTTCAACGAGAGGCTCGATGTGCAATTAGGATGAGCTGTGTTTTGGCTGACTGATGGCGTGATGCCGAGTGAAGCCAGGTGCTGCTGCTGTGTGTGTGTGTGTGTTTCCTTATCTGAAGGGAACTCTCCTGACCAAGGACCTCGCTGATCAATGGATGCAGCATTTCTTACTACTTTATCGCATAAGCAGTGCTGCTGCAATGGCTTATCACTGCAAACTACAGGAGTATAACTATGCTAACATCAGCTGCACATGACAGCGCTCTAACAGGGTTTTTCCTACCCATCAAAAATGTTTGTGCACAACAGAGAAGCTTTGGGGTTCCAAAGGAAAATCACCAAGATGGATAAAAATATATTTTAGTCCAGTTCAGTTTTAATACAGGAAAAAAAATCCTGTCTATTTAAATATAAAACAGCAAGGTAGGGTAAACAACTAGAGCAGTGGTGCATCAAATATGCAGCCCAGGGTATTTCCACTTCTTTGAACTGTAACTCACAGCTGTGACATGAGGAAAACCTGAGATTTCTCCCACTGTCTAAAAAGAATTGCTTAAAAAAAAAAAGAAAAAAAGGATTTAACAAGTACTAACTAATGATATCTGGCATTTGTTTTTCTGGGGGGTAGGGTAAGAGGTCTTTCACATGGGCTAATAGTTGCAGTTTTTTTTTAAAAGTTTGAATCTGACCCAGGAGTTGTGTTGTGTTATTTGTCAGGTCCATTTGAGACCCACAAACTGGGTGTGACACTCCTGACCTAGAGCACTAACACAGAGAGAACTGCATGAGAGTCAATTTAAATTTTAAAAAAAAATTAGTACAGATCAGTCCCTTGGATTTCATGTGTTTTTGCTCAGCGTGTTGCTACATGTCTGTAACTCCTGCTATGCTTTGATGGGTATATGCCTGCAAGGAGGGGTGTGAGCCAACGTCCCTGCACTACTTAATAAAGGGATCAGGGCGGACAGACTAATAATAACCAGTCTAGGTCACACAGGATACATACTGCTACAGTATCCCTTTGCTAAACACCACATGTCTTGACGATTGCTACTGCAGTACATAATTACCGTCATGCTTCAGGATCTGTTGGCAACTTCAAAGACACAAACAAGACAATTACTTCAGAACTTGCTAATTAGGAGACTTCAGTGACCGATATGCCCGTTAAGTTTAGTACCCAACCATCTTTACTGATCGCTTCCCACTGATTTTAAGCAGCCTCTTCTCACGGTTTACTCGTTTTTGTTTTTTGTTCTAGCTTGTTTTGGTCTTTTGCTTAAAGGAACTATTTGTAACGTCACAGTTTTAACTAATCCAAAACTGACTTTTTCGTCCTCAATTTTCAACACTTTTAAAAAAATATTAAACAAACATTTTTT